CCATGCTCACAGGTGTACACACGGGTGATCACACCCACAAACTACACCCTTTTTGGCTCCTACCTCAAAGCACACTGTGCGCTGCCGATCTTACAAGCTGCACAATAATGTTTAATATTTAGTATTTACTGTCATATTCCCATAGATCATCGTGATGTTGTTTATTCTATTGCTCTCGTTTTCTTCTGCTTGTTTTCTTTTTTCATTCTCAACAGGTGATCCAGGTGATTGATGTGTTTGTTTTTTTTGTCTGCTTATTTAGTTGGTTTTTGTTTTTTATCCCCGTCCCTCTTCTCCGCTGTTTTTCTTTCCCTCTTTCTTTCGCCCTTCTCTTTTCCTCATTCAGTCTGTCCCGTATCTAGCAAGTGAAAATAAAAAATAAAATAAACAATAAAAGGTGAATCAAATAGACCATTACGGCAAGGCTGGGATAGTCAATTTGGTAAAGTAAGTCCGTTGGGCATCTTTCTTCGCCTTTAGACAATAATTCTGATGGCAAAAGAGCCAAAGAGGACAGGCAAAAAAAAACAAAAACCAAAAAACATGCTAAACCCTGAGTTGGCCGTGATGCATCCATCGGAGTGTGAGTGTGTTTGTGAGGAGCAGCTCATGCTTGGATACAGATAAAAGGATGATTGTGAGCATGAAAGCGCCCGAGTGCTCAAATTCAGGAGAAAAGTGCTGTATGAGTACCAGCTCTTTAACCATCAATATTAAAAAATATTTATTTTTATTTTTTTAAGACATGGAGGAAGTATGTGCCCACTGTAGTGATGTGTGTGTAATTGGTGATCGTCCACTGTTGTGTAGTTGACAGGATTTAAAGAAGGAAGTTGGTCTGGTCATGCTGACATAGAAAGCACCGAGCACAGAGGGAATATTGTCCTAAGCTTAAAGGCTGTTGAGATCCATGGTCACATGATAAACACAGATGAGTCAATATTTAACAATCACAAGACAGAAAATAACTTCATGTATGGTCACACACACTTTTGCCCCAGAACATTGTGTCAGATAGTTTTTCCTTTGCTCAGCTGACCACATGTGGGTCATAGGTCACTGTGGCAAAGGTGAAGGCACTCAGGCGTTGCTGAAACCTGCTGTCCTTTGCAAGAAGGCTGTAACTGTGTGAGAATGAGACAAATGAAAGAGACGCGTCACCAGACAAAGAGTCCGTATTGATGTTGTTTATTAATTTGAAGATACTCTGCATTTAACTGCTATTAGAACAAGTTTAACTTTGCTTGGTTTGGTCTCCCAGTCTTCACTATCAGATTAAATTACAGAAACATGCATTGATTGTTTGACTTTGAGTTAGACTGATCGTTTTCCAGGAGCCAGCCAATTAGAGGGCTCCCGTGGCCCCGCCTGACCTCTTAAAAGAATGTTTGTTGCTGTTGCGTGTCAGCGTTGCATTAGTGCATTGTGAAGGCAGAGCGGCAGTAAAAACTGCAGAATCCCTGCCACTGGATGCTCAGTGTCTCACCTGGCTGCTCTCTGTTACAGGTTAGTGGGTGAGAAACACGTTAAAACATGGAGAAACACACACGGGGATACGGAAATAGTGTGTGTCGTGTGTTGTTCTTGCATTATCCTGTTATTATTAACTGTTGTACAGTTAGCATTCAC